TCGGATGCGGGCACATCAGGGGGCAGCGATCTATTTGTACTACTCCGATCCCGACCTGTCTGCCCCGTCAGACAGATGGCACCCCCCTACTCCGATCCCTTTCTGCATTTTCCCCCCTCTCTTGCATCTGTTCCTACTACACCGATCCCGACGTGTCTGCCACGTCAGACAGAGGCGACTACGAGACGGCGGGGGTTCCATCTGTCTGACGTGGCAGCCACGTCGGGATCAGAGCAGTAGGAACAGATCCCGACGTGTCTGCGACCACGTCGAGATCCGAGTGGGAACCGATGCCCGAGGAAACGCAGAAAAAACATGAAAGGTGGGGAGAGGGGTAGGCTACCGTCTTCTCCCCCGAATAGAAAAGCGTAAGGTCATTATAACTGTTCATATCTGTATTTGGCGGAACTTCCAGTCTTGATGCAGAGACAATAAACCACCGCGCGTTCTATTTGCGGGGCGGGGGGTTGGGGCGAGGGGAAGGGGGTTAAGAAAGGAAAAAGACAGGTAGCAGAATGGAGTACAGAAAACAAAAGGTAGAGAGAGAGAGAGAGAGAGAGAGAGAGAGAGAGAGAGAGAGAGAGAGAGAGAGACCCGGGACCACTTGCAACGCCGGGCCAAACAATATCAGAATAATAAAAATAAAAATTATTATTAAAAAATAAATTTAATATTTAAACTTCAAAATTATTATTTAAAATTTATTATTTCAAATTTAAATTTATTTTTTAATTATTTCCACTTTCATTTTTTTATTTTTTTTTGGTGAAGATTTTTTTCCATCAAATGTGGTAAAGAATTTTGATATGACCCTGAGGCAAAAGTTGTTCAGTTTATTTTTCTGCATAACGTAGTTTAATGACCCGGGCGGCCCGGTTAGCAGCCCGGGACAAAATCCGCCAAGGGGGCGGGGGGGAAAAAAAAAACGTGGGATGATGACTCAGTTAAAAATGAAGATAAAAAGGTTAAAAAAGGTATTCATCGCAATAAAAGTAGTAAACGGGTTAAAAAAGAAACACAGACCAAAAAAAGCTCTTGTCCCCTTCTCCTCCTCCTCCTCCTCCTCCTCCTCTTCCCCCTCCCCTCTTCCTTTCGTCGTCAAGCCCATCATAATCACTTTCATCATGGGTTATCATCATGGAGAGTAACTAAAAAAAAAAACAAGTAAAGAAAAAAGGCAGAGAGGATTGGAAAGGGTAAAACAAAAAAAAAAAAGAGGAGAGGAGAGGTGGGGAGGAGGGCAAAGTACGGTGACGGTTTACACAATACGCAAAAACACAAAAACAAAAACGAAAGATTTTGTTGGCCAAATTGGCCAACCAAAAAAAAAACCAAAAAAAAAAACGAATCCACAAACTCACCCTGTTCAGCCGTCAATCCGTTGGAATCTTCATGCTGGCCTTGCTCGAGACTTGAGAGAGGAAGAAAAAAAAAAAGAAAAAAGAAAAGAAAGAAGATTAGCGATTCAGGAGAGACTGGACTATCACTCTCTCCCCCATCTCTCCAATCTCTCTCTTCCCTGGCACCCTTCCCCGCTGTCGCGATCCAGTTCGAGCCGTCATAGACGTACGTATAGTCCTCCTCAAGACACAACAACACAGTCGTAGGCAAATTTCTAGAAACGTCTTCTGCTTCTGCTTCTGCCTCCTCCTCCCCCTCTTCCTCCTCTTCCTCCTCCTCTCCCTCCTCTCCCTCCTCTTTCTCCTCTTCCTCCTCCTCTCCCTCCTCTCCCTCCTCTTTCTCCTCTTCTTATCTTCTCCTTTTTCTTCCTTAAGTTAGAGCGATGTCAATGCAGCAGCTTGCTTAACTCGTTCGTTAAAAAAAACGAAAAAAAAAAGAAAAATTAACTCGTTTGTTGTAAGTGTTGGACGTGTAGCAATTTGTTTCTCCTCCCTATTGCATTCTATACTGATCCTCCTCCCTCCTCCACTCCTCCTCCCTCCTCCCTCCTCCTCTCCAACTCCTCCTCCTCTCCTTCTCCTCCTCTCCTCCTTCTCCTCCTCTCCTCCTTATCCTCCCCTCCTCCTCCTCCTCCTCCTCCTCCTCCTCCTCCTCCTTTGGGACGACCATGCGGTCGCAATCACCGACGTCTCGTCGGTCAGTTGTCCGGGAAGGGGCGTCTTGGCAGGTGGCAGACCTCTGCCGACCGGTCGCCCGGGAATTCCCAAGCGACTGGTTCTCAGACACTCTGCCGACCAGTCTGCAGAGAGAACTCAGACACTCTGCGGACTACTGTAGACTCCCGTCAATTCACACCAGCGGTCCCGACCAACACTCTGCCGACTGGCACCGTATCCCGACTCTTGGAAGGGATGTATTTATATTGGATAAAAGGCCGATCTGGGCTTGCAAAAAAAAGTCGAAAAAAAGTCAAAAAAAGTCAAAAAAAGTCAAAAAAAGTCAAAAAAAGTCAAAAAAAAGTCAAAAAACTCTCTCCGGTCAATTCAGACACCATTCCTGTTTTTTTTTGTTTTTTTTTTTGTCCCTAAGATTTATGCGTGTCGTCCTTTCTTTTTTTTTCTTCTTCTTCTTCTTCTTCTTCTTTTTTTTTTTTTTTTTTAATGCGTGTCATCCTTGCGAAGGGTCTATGTTAATCTTCTCTGTATCGTTCCAGTTTCAACAGATGTCCCAAAGGACTCAGGGCATACTCACACTGGCACTTTTCCAAATGTACCAGACTGCAATTACGGCCGGACCTGGACGAATCTGTCCGCATTCACGTCCAGAGCTTAGTAGAAAAAGTCCTACCGTCTTCACCCGAAAGAGCGCCCGGTCATTATCCCTGTATGTAGACACAAAGTTATACCAAATACGGCTATAATGACAGGTCGTTCTTTTTCTTTTTTTTTTCATTTTTTTTTTTCAGTGTGTGTGCACAGTGATCACCTGGAACTGTAAGCCGCGGGTGTCCTGGAATATGAGACCACCTCCCGACCCATCCTTACGTCAATACTCCTAGCGCACCCCCTATCCCACTATTCTACCTCAGTGTGGCCAGCACTCAGGAGTGGGGACCATTGCCCTACCAACGGGCAGGCAATAATGACCGGTCGTTCTATTCGGGTAAAGACGGTCGTTGTGTGAGTGCGACTGTGTGAGTATGCCCTCAGACACCAGTACGACTTCCCGCCGACCAGTCGCTCGTCGACTCAGACGCCATTTCGACTCCGCGACCTTCCGACTGTCTGGCGACCAGTCGCCCGCGAACTTTGGGCCTCGCCGCACGGCACACGAAACGAAAACGAAACGAAGGCATCTGCCCACGAAAGGTGGAAAAATACACTCGTTACTATTTATAGCAAAACGACGAATCTGGCCATTTTCTGCCGGAAGATGCACTCGTTCCGTTTTTCGTTTCGTGTGCCGTGCGGCGACGCCCTTTCACTGGAGCAGGTGGGCAGGCTGCCGCGACCAGAGGGGACACACACTACACGACGAAACGAGGGTGGATAGAACAATCACACACAAAACGACAAGATGTCCACATTTAATAATAAAAAGGAAAATTGACGGTTCGGAAAAAAAAAAAGATGTCCATTCCATTCCATGCATTTGCTTTTTCTGATAGACTGCCTCCTTTTGCCAACTTCACGTCCAGGTACGTTCTGACAAGACCGGATTACGAAGTCGTTTTGTCGACTTGTCCAGGTTCCTTGTCATCAGGGATGTGCGACTAGGGTTTTCTTTTTTTTTGGGGGGGGGGAAAGCTTGTAACTGTATATTGCAAAGATTGTTCCCACAAAAAAAAAAAAAAAAAAAAAAAAAAAAAGATTGTCAACGGGACGAGGCCGGGGACCTCACAATTCGACCCGGAGTTATCCTGGCAGCCTTATCCAGTTTCGCTTCCGAGCATAGCTCACTACTCAATCAAATGCTCAAAATTACTCCTCAGACCTAGCTGGAAACCGGGTCCAGCGTCCCTTTCTGCCCCGAAAGGACTTTCCAAAAATAAATCATGAAGCTCAGAGTATAAAGTAGAAGGCTTTCTATATATCAATGCTGGTCACATTTCCCGAGTTAGCCTAAACGCACCAACGAAAGTCTAGAAAGCTCAGCAGATGCGGAAAACCTAAGCTCCCTGCACTCCTTGGAGTCTGCTTGCAGTAGTCCCTGTTGATTGATCGAAACCAGGACATATTACCAATAGGACATGAAGCAGGCAGGTGAGCTAAGTTCTGCTGATCGTAGAATGGTAGTGGAACGAAACAGACTACAATAGCGCCCTAGCTTCCCAGTGTTCACACACAGATAAGCTCAGGCATCGGGGTATCTAACCCGACCCCCTACAGTCTGAGCTGTTTCGAACAGTACAGCCAAGATTTGAGATTCAGAATCCCATCCGAGGAAAGGGAAGCCAAACCGCCTTCTCTCGCCCAGGACCTTAGGAACCAAGGTTTACCTGAACCCCCACTATCTGAGGATAGTTTCCAATCAGCTTTGATCATCAGTCTCAACGATGAGCGGACCTGGGCCTGTTGCTGAGAGAAGGAGATCTTCACATTCTTAAAAACTACACTGTTCCTTGCTCTCCATATTTCCTGCAATAACTCCCCTCTGCAGACCAGTGCCACATATCCCCAGCCATCAGAGTAATTGAATCCTGGGGCTGGAAATAAGCCAAATAGAACCCAGTCATCTGTCCAAAGACTCCATACAAAGGAATGAGTGTTCGTTGCCATAGGTCCGCCCACCATTGCCAAACTTCGTCTGCCAGCGGACAGTGGACCCAGAGATGAGCGTTGGATTCCCAGCCCCAATCGCACCTAGAACAAGTGTCTGGAACCTCCAAGCCTCTGGAGTTCAGCCATGTGGCAGTGGGAATCACTTGCAAGCTTTGGAGCCATAGTAGGCTGGCCTGACCTTGAGAAGGTAGTTTTTTCAGAGCCGCCCATAACGCCGGCCAATTGGGGGACTGAACAGACGAACCCTTCATGTTTTGGAATCTGCGCTTGGCCATGTCTGCAGGGGTGTTAAGCGTTCTGGATCTCAAGAGTCCTCATGCCCACCCTGGGAGCGTACCGACACAGCGGAGTGACTGTCTCTCTGCCCTGATCCCCATGCCTCCATCCCAAAAGGAGGGGTTCCTCTCTGAAGCAGTCTGCTTCCCCCAATAACACTGTCTGCTTTTGAGCCGACCACACCCTGACTTCGGAATCCTCCAAACCCAAGGTGGAGGTGATCACCTTTTCTTGCACAAATTCTAGTGGCGTGCCTTTGGCTGCTTTGAGGCCCATTCTCCATTCTTCCACCCTCCAACCCATGGACAAGTCAGGTCCTACCACCTTCCACACCAGCGCAGAACCGTCTTCCGCTTTGACCCAGGTACCGCATCCATTCTCAGTAACTGTTGTAGATTTCAAAACCAAAGGCCAGTGTTGAGGAACGGCACTGATCACCTTGGACCTGTTGATTGCAAACCCTCGCAAGCGAGGGAGCTTTCGCTTTAGATGACCCTCTGAAATCCAGTCGTCCCTGGTTTCGTCCCAGAGATGCTTGATCAGGAATATCCCTTTTTGTATCCAGGCTTTACCAAAGTTTCCCAGTCCCTCGCCTGCGCTGAACACCGAACCCTCAGGCAGACAGATCAGGAGGTTATCAAAGATGGACTGGTTTAGCACCTCAACTCTCGAAGGTGGAGGGTGGATGGCCTGTGGGAACAACCTCTTCCACGCCAGTATTATGCCTCGCCACGCTCTTGATTTAGTACGCATGTTGAGGTAAGACGGCAGCAGCAGGCAATGCCAAGCATCTTCGGGGTTAGCCAGAGACCATTCATTCCCCAGGATGTACTCGGCGAGTTTAACCCTAATTTTAGAAGAGTCTTCAAAGAAGGCCTTGAAGACCCACTTGGCCAATAAAGCGATATTCTGGGCCTGCGGGTCTAGGACACCCAACCCTCCTTGATTTTTCTCTTTTTTTGACTGATCAGAACAGATACTACACTTGGGGCGTCGCCGCACGGGACACGAAACGAAAAACGAAACGAGTGCATCTTCCTTCAGAAAATGGTCAGGTTCATCGGTTAGCTATAAATAGTAACGAGTGTATTTTGCCACCTTTCGTGGGCAGATGCACTCATTTCGTTTTCGTTTCGTGTGCCGTGCGGCGAGACCCTTGGTCTTACAGAAGTTACAGTTGCTCTTACACTTGATATTTGGACCAGGGCTTGCCCTTTGTGTGGTGGTTCGTAGTATAGCCCCTGAGTGACCAGACTAAACAGTGGTACCACGCGAAGAGTCTGATCATTTGTTTAGGACCAGCGTTGCCCCGGAGTGACCAGAGTAAACAGGGGTACCACGATCTAGGCAATGTGCAATGTGATTGTTTGTTTGGCTGCCCCCCGTTCGGGGCCCCTTCTTGAACCCCAATCCGGTACCTGCCCTTGGCCGCACAATCTGAGGCAGCGTACCTAACTGTGACTAGGGTTGCCGGATTGGATCGCAGGTGGCTCGTTTGTTTTGTAGTAGGAGGGTGGTGTTGATGAAAAACTAGGACTACTATTCAGTTGAAGCTTGGGTTAAGTAGTAGGACATTGGAGTAGTATTTCCTCTTTGGCCTGAATGGCGCTGACATGATTGCGGGAACGATCTCTCTGTAGTCGCATGACTGCAGGAGTCGGTGGAAGTCGGGGGATGTCCGTAGTTACGACTGCGGGAGTCGGGGAAGTGTTGGTGGCCGGTCATGTCCGTCTTCATCATCTTCTATCATCTGCTGTTTTTCATGATGACCACAGTTAAGGCCCCACTGGTTAACATGAGCCAATTTTGTACGAAGCTGATGTTTTAATGATGATTATACAACTTCGTCGGCTTTGTCCTGATTGTTGTTTACTGCGTGCTTTGTGTGCGGTCACGTATCGTCCTATTACCCAAGGTCGTAACCAACTAGTACTAGGCGATTGTACGTAGCGGACGTGGCGGCTTATGTGAGATGACGGAGAAAGCTTCGAGAGATTGACAGTGTGGAGGTTGACGAAGGGGAGGTATTCAGTGACTTAGAGTGTGATTGAGGCAAGGGAGTCAAAATGAGTGAGGAAGGAGAATCGAGGCGTGGGAATGAAGGGGGCATTTCGTTACCACCAGATGAAAGACAGTGTTACAAGTGTGGAGAGAGCGGGCATTTCATCCGCGATTGTGCCGAGTATAGGAGAGCCTTGGCACAAGGAAGGACTTTTGTCCCATCGGCATTGCCGACAATGCAGACTAGAACTGGCAGAACTACTACCAGTGGCGAAAACCTGAGTTCTCGTCGGAGCCGGTCGGTGGAAAGCTGGAACGAGCGAAATACAGAAAATACCGAGATGCTCATGCAAGAATATTTCATACAGATGGCCGAGGAGAAAAGGGAGAGGATTGAACGTGAAAGGGAGGCTGAGAGACGGAGGTTAGAAGAGGAAGCACGTCGGGCCAAAGAATCAAGGAGAGCACTAAGAGAGGAGCAGAGACTTCAACGTGAAGAAGAACGAGATGCACGGCTGATGCGGATCATTCGTGGTGAGATGAGAAAGGAGCGGGATGAAGAAACGGAGTGTTACGAGTACAAAGGGAAGAGACCTAGTAAGATGGCGTGTCAGGCTGAGGCTAATAATGAGGAGAAAGAACGCCTTCGGAGAGTGATTGCACTAAGAAGATTGGCAATGGAGGAAACCGAGGACGAGGTGTTGTTGGCACTTCGAAGGCAAGCAGCGAAACTGGATATGTTGGAGAAAAGGAAACGGGGTCTGGACTTACCTGTGGGCTATGTGACACCCGCGGTCTAGGCCACGGGCAATTCGGACGCCTCGACCGAAAAAGTCGGCCGCAGCCGCAGCCGCCAGGCCTAGTTTGCAGCCCAATTTTTTGAATATTTTTTTTGGGGTAAAAAAATAAGTGAAAAAAAATATAAAAAAATATATATATAAGGGGTTGTAGGGTTTTGAAAGCCCTAAAACCCCATATTTGTTTTTTTTTAATTTGACTTTATTTATAATTTGTAAAAAATAAAAAACGAAAATCGGTTAAAAAGAAAAAAATCATTTGTAAAAAATAAACAACGAAAATCGGTTAAAAAGAAAAAAATAAGAACAAATAAAAGAAAAGCAGGATTTTTTTTTTTTCATTTTTTTCATGACTGCTATGGACTGTGTGTGTGTGTGTGTGTGTATATGTGTGTGTGTGTGTGTGTGTGTGTG